TTACTTGCAGGAATATAGTGAACTGTAGCAAGTTTCCCACGCTGGGACATGCTGCCAGCCCCCCTCCTCCTCCCTTCTACAGAAACACATCTGAATTCTTCTTCTATACCACTGATAGTAACTAGGCACCTTCAAGGTCTTGCAGTTCCCAGCTGTTAGCGAGCTAGAGAAAAGTTATGTCTGGGGGGGAAGAGGCGGAAGTGGGGGGAACGGGGCTTTTAGGATGCTTGGGCCTAGAGTGGGGGCGCTTCATTGATCCATGTGATCTTCCACTCCCCCGAGTTACCTAGGATCATGCCCAGTGACCCCAACAATAAGATCACTTGGGCTACACTTTAGTCTGAAAATATTGACTCTGGTCTCTTATTGGTGTCCAACTGGAAGGTTATTGTGAACAAGCACAACCCCTCCCCTACAATCCCCACCTTCCCAAAATCCACCACAGAGAATATACTTTGAGCTAGGTTTCCCCAGTAGCTTTTTCAGTGCATGATCTCTCACCTGATGCTGACTTGCTGGATATACAGAACTTTTAAAGACATGTCTTGGAGACAATTATGGCTTCAATGGATGAACTTGGAATTGTGTACTAGCATCTAATATCCTTCCAAGTATTGTGTTGGTAAGCTCTTTGGTAAGTACTGAGACAAAGCAGCTTCTGGGCCCTTTAGAGAAGGGAAGTCTCTCCTTTCTTTCAGTAACAGACTCTTCAAACCATCTTAATTTAACAGGTGTTCCTTTTGAAGCCACTGTCATTCTAGGTTCCAGCATAGAGAGTGCACAATAGGAGGCCGCTGCTGCTTTTCCTGAGAATTGGAAGATCCCATCTGGAATTTCTAGAAAACCATCCAACCCCAAAGGCTTTTCTCGGGTTTTTGGATGTTTGAATGGAGCAGCGCAAAACTTATGACCCATTAATTCCTCAAAATAGGATTAAAGAGGGACTTGAGTGCTGCATAGGCTTTTTGCTAACTCATTGCACAGTGACACATTTCACTCTTACTTACATATAGGTTCATAGATTTTTTTTAAGGCCAAAAGGGATTATCACCTAGTCATTTCTTCTACTAAAATGTGGAATTTCACTCAGTAGCTTCTGTATTAAGTCCATTGTATCTGGTTGAGGTGAAGCATACCTTTTAAAAAGACATTCAGCCTTGTGCATATGTGTAATCTCTCACATATGCATTGAAGTACAATCAACTTATGTAACGTACATGCACTTGCAGCCTGCATGTGTACCATGCTAAAGACAACACAGCTATTTCTCAGAACTGTGAGATAAACATTTCCAGCTTTTGTCTGTAAATTCTTTCTTCTTAGAGCTGGCCTGGAAAAGGCTGGTTTTGCTGATCCCTTAGTATTTTTTCATTACTTTATAGAAGCTTGAATAAATAGTAGAAATTAAGCTATTGTATAGAGAATATTATTTGTAACTTAATGATTAATAAGTTCCTCAGTAAAAACAAAAGTTCAACAAAATCATACTTTCTTGTCCATTCTTCTCTTATTTGTTGCAAAACCCAGCAGGCATGATTCTTGCTGGCAGTTTATCAATATGTTGAAGCTGATGACTGCCCACTATGTGATTACCTTGGGGAATTCACTGTTGGCTCTCCACTTGCAATCTGCAAAGCTTGTTGCCAGGAAATCTGACAATTATATGCAAGTTTGCGAGACCCAATGGTAACTTAAAATATTATAATTTAGGCCAAACCAAGTATTGTATCTGTGGTCAGTGTCTTTTATTGTACTTGATGAGCAAGTGGTCTATAGTAAATCACTTGGGTTGCTTGTGATTTCCTTTTTTGTGTGTCAAGGTTCTGTATGGCATTTTTCACTGAGGCTTCATCTACACTGCTGGTTTCGCCAGCAGTGAGTATGCAAATGAGGAACAGATTAGCATATTGTCTCATTTGCATAATTTATGCAAACTGTTTTTTGCGCAAAGGGTTTTTTGTGGGAAAAAAAGTAGTGTCGACGGGTTTTTTTTGCGCGCAAAAAAAGCCCATACTACTTTTTTCCCCCCATAAAAACCCTTTGCACAAAAATGGCTTGCATAAATTATGCAAATGAGACACCGCAATATGCTAATCCATGCCTCATTTGCCTACTCACTGCTGGCAAAACTCACAGTGTAGACATAGCCTGATTGAAGACTATTCTTATAGAACGAGATAGTTATTTCTGTAGTGTAATCAGTTGGAGGGAGCACAGGGCGGGGGTGGAGGTTCTCAGTGAAGGCAACACATCAGAATTTCTCTTGGGAAGTGAGAGCCTGCAGTGCCTATCAAAAACCCCACAGATCCCCAAAGATCAGGGCCATACACATCAATTCTGCCTTTCCTGTATTTCCCCTGTTTTCCTTACAGTGCTGCTGTACTAGTAAGGATTCTTCCAGGCCATGACTGCCCATGACCACTGCTTAAATTTCATTCCCCAACATGGATAAGGCTCGGCAGGAACGTTAATATATTACCAGGTGGCATTTGCTTTTCAAGCTAATCTCTGTGGGATCAGTATGGTGATTATTTGTGTCCATATGGCCCAACTTCCACTCGATGTCAGCTTGTTCCTTTGAGCCCGCCTCCGCAGAAAGCAAAGTGCCATCTGCTAGGTCTTGAGAGAGAAGGGGTTGCTGCTGCAGAAATTATTCCCCTCAAGGTGGAAGGGGGGAGATCCTTGTATGGATCATGGGGACATTGTCTGGACCATTGACATTAAGCTGACACGATCTGTGAGTTCATGAACACTGCCACCCCACAACAAGCAGAATTATCCTGCTGGAAATTTAATTTTCTCTGCTTTGAAATAGGGGGACACGCACTTATATAACATGTAAACATATCCTAGTTTAGGATTTTATCAATGTTCAAAGGGAGTTGGCTTGATTCCCCCCTTAAATACTTATGTATGCATTGACTTAAGTGCAAGCTGCACGTATGTACGGAAGGTAATGCTTTTCAACCTGGAGAGCACTACATTGGTCCATGAAATGTGGAGCAGTGGAAATGTGGAAAGCTGCATGAAGCTGGATTAACTCTGATAATTCTCTGGAAACATGCTGCTGCTGTGGGTAAAGTGGTTAGCAGCTTCTTGAAATCTGTCTACCCTTTCTGCTCTTGCAACAGCCTCTAATGCTCCTACCCATAAGAGCAACTCATCCAGAGAGCTAGAGGCCCAGGAAGGAGCTCATTAACTCAAGGTTTTGTGTTCATATTCATGACATACAGCTTGGCTGCAAGATCCTGTACCCCAGCCCCACAGACCCACTAATGCAGGGCTACTCAACTTGGGAAGCCCCAGGGGCCACAATGATACTCATAGCACATGCCACGGGCTGCAAATTAAGTGTAGTTGCATATACATGCAGATATATATGCAAATATACACAAATAGCTTCTTTCACACTGACGGGCATGAATACAAAGATTCTGGCATGTAAACCCAGGCCAGAGGATAAGAATTTGGAAGTAACGAATTTCTTAGTGGATTAGAATTAGCCAGGGTCTTCTATTAATTTTAATTTATTAATTTACTTTAATCTATTTGTTTTCATTTGCAGTCACTTACATCCTCCTTTTTATACTCAATAAAAACACTTTTGTTTATTATCAAGGCCAGTATAAATAATTATCTGAGGAATGGGGGAAGAGAGCAACCACTGTGCACCTCTCTCTTTCATTGATAAAGGGGACTGACATTCTGAGCTTTCTCTGTAAAATTTTTACACAGGGTAAGATGGATTTATTTGTAGTTTTGGTCCTCTTTGGGGTCTCTGCTGAGCCCTTACAGGTGAGCCCTCGCAGAGTTGAGCTGGTTCAGTGTCCATGTTGCTCTGCTGGGGGGAAGTAACCCCAACTCTGGCCCAGCAGGTGGTGGGGAATCCTAGAGGGCAAGAAGGCAGGCATTGATGGCTTGATCAGCAAAATAGGGGACAACCTCAAGGGGATTTCTGTGATACATGCTGTGAATGATAGCCTCTACAGAGAATCAGTGTGTTCCATTTGTTATGTCTTAGGTATTTGAATAAACTTTTTGAAGAACAGACCTGGCATTTAACAATTTCTTTTTGTTAAAATGTTGGAAGCATTACAGATTTTATTATTCAGACAGACATCAAATAAAAGAAAATCCAGAGTTTCCAAAAAGTGTTTGCTTTTATTGTTTTTCTGTTATAAGGGAACATGTGGTTTGTCAGAAAAGGGGTTTTATGGAGTGACTGGTTAGAGCTTCAGAATTAAGGCTGAGTTGAGTTTTGTACTTAAAGCAGGTATTAAAATAAGACTCTAGAGTTAGAATCTAAGGGTACGTCTAGACTACATGCCTCTGTCGCCAGAGGCATGTAGATTAGGCTACCAGACATAGGACAATGAAGCGGCGATTTAAATAATCGCCGCTTCATTTAAATTTACATGGCTGCCGTGCTGAGCCGACAAACAGCTGATCAGCTGTTTGTCGGCTCAGCACGGCAGCCATGTAAATTTAAATGAAGCGGCGATTTAAATAATCGCCGCTTCATTTAAATTTACATGGCTGCCGTGCTGAGCCGACAAACAGCTGATCAGCTGTTTGTCGGCTCAGCACGGCAGCCATGTAAATTTAAATGAAGCGGCGATTTAAATAATCGCCGCTTCATTTAAATTTACATGGCTGCCGTGCTGAGCCGACAAACAGCTGATCAGCTGTTTGTCGGCTCAGCACGGCAGCCATGTAAATTTAAATGAAGCGGCGATTTAAATAATCGCCGCTTCATTGTCCTATGTCTGGTAGCCTAATCTACATGCCTCTGGCGACAGAGGCATGTTGTCTAGACATACCCTAAGTAATGACTCATACTCTGAAATAAAATGCTTTTGTCTTTTTCATATTTTCAGCTGTCTTTGAAGGGAACATTTAAGTTCAGGACATGAGGCATAAAGTTATTGTAGGGTAGGCAACTGGTTACCATTGCTGCAGAACACACAGTTTTAAAACTTTATTCCTTCCATTTTTTATAGGATTGGAAAACTTCAGAAGATGAAGAGACAGATGACGATGATGAAGAAATAACAGACAAAGAAGAAAAAGAGGAAGAGGAGGAGGAGGAGGAGGAGGAGGAAGAAGAGGAGGAGGAAGGTGATGAGGATGATGGGAAAGTGCATGAAAATGAGGACCATCACAGTAAAACACTTGAGGGAGAAAGAAACACCACCACTGTGGAAACCATAGAGGTAAGCCATACGTTTCTTTTAAGTTGTACTGTGAAGAAATTTGCCTTTATAATTCCTTAAAGCATGCTGTTAAACTTCTGGGCTCAGCATGGAAAACTTACCCCCTGTGTTTGAGTCCAAAGTAATTTTTCATTCATCTGTGGTTTTCATAGCACTAGGAGTGCAGTTATCATCCAATTATTTTATTTTTTAGCCAAAGAAAATATTATGGAATGCTTGGTCTTTCTAGCTAAATATATTTCTTCTTTTTTAAAAAGATTAGCTACTTTGATGAACAAGCATATTATTATTTTCATCCTATTTTATCTGTTACCAATGAATTAATACCTACAGTGTTAATATACTTTTTCAGGAATTATACCAATGTAATCTACTATGTATTTGAGAGTGTTTGTCTGTTTGTTCAAGAACTCCTCCTAAGTGGTAAGAGCTAGGAACACCAAATTCAATATACAGTTTCCTTTTATCATAACTTAAAGGAACATAAGAGTTTGGTTTTGCCAGGAAAAGGAGATGTGCCAGAATGGGATTGCTTCTCATAAAACCATACAGAAAAGAGACAGAATCACCAGGCAGGTGAAAGGGGCTGGCTGGGGGGTTCTCCCCACACCCAATTCAGGATTACCCCAGCCAGTGGGTGCCTTTTTTGGGGGACAGGAGAGTTGAAGCTCCCCCCAAGCTCCCCAGATTTGTACTGGGACATTGCTGGCTGTTCCCTTTTGTCAGGGAGATAGGGGAAAGTGCATGGTTTCTTGCATGCCTCACTGTGGCTGGGGAGCTTAGGGGACAGACAAGCTGTACACTTTGTTCTTATTCCCTGACAATGACAGGAAAGGAAAGAGCATGCATCCCTGGTATGAATTTCAGGGAATGAGGGGCCTTTGGTCCCCTGCCCATCCTCCTACACATACATACACACAATATCCCCTGTTCAGAGGCCCTCCTCACCCCCCTACATCGAATGTTGCAGTTTAAATGTTTTTGAAAGGGTTTGAAAATATGGCATACAGATTTAATTATATTATTTATTATTCATAGGAAGAAAAAAACGCCCAAGAAGATAAAATACTTCAGCAAGGTACAAAACCTTTCTGTTCAGAATCTAACCATTACAGTTATTCTAAATACAAACTACACATTTTATCTAACAACAATTATATATGTATCTAATCTAGGTTATATAAATGTTAAATTATGAAGACACTTTGTAAGACACGCAAAGCAATGCTCTCTAGCCAGCATCACAGCAAAGTTACCAGTTTTATTTTTCTCAAGAAAGGCACCTTTTTTCTCAAGAGATTTTGAGATGTGTAATAGGGGAAGCTTATCATAATAGAATGCACCTTGCAAGAATATTCTATATTTTAACATGCTTATTGCCACAGGCAGACCATTAAAGTAGAATTCATAGAAGTTCTAGCTGACAGGTGACAGACTGATTGTAGTGACCAGTATTTGTGCTGACTGTTTGGCACAGGGAACCTGTTGTCATGCTTTTCCTTGCCTCACCTTCTGGAGATCCTGTATCAGACCAACAGATAACTTCTCTGCGCATCCTTAGCTGTCTGTGTATTTTTGAGGAGAAAGAGCCTTACAGAGCTTCACACCCTGCCTTTTTCAGTTGTCCTTCAGTAACTAGTATCTATGAATCTGTATGGGGAAGACTCAGAAACAGAGGATGAAATTAAACCTATATGGTTATGAAAACTGTAGGGTCTGATTAGCTGCCTGATTGATTGCCACACTAAAGAAAAAGATAGACTGCCATTCGTGGATTAATTAAAAAGGTTCAAAATTCTTGAAAAGACTATGGATAACATTTTCAAAAGCACCTGAATGACCTAGGCACTTAAGTCCCACATTAAAAGTGAGTTAGGAGCATAAATGTAAGATTTAGGTTAGTAGAAGACTAAGTTATTTTTGAAAATTGGACTTAGGCTCCTAAATTAACGTGGGAAAAATTTTCAAAAGCCCCGTATGTTTTTACACTCTGTCTAGCATACCATCAGTTTCCTTACTTGAGAGTTATCCCATTCCTATTGTCTTCTGAAATGGTAGCTGAACCTTGCCAATTTTAAACTGTGAGTGACATTATTGAAACCAAATCTATTAATTGTGCAGGGTCCTGGACCAACTGTAGGGAACTGATTGCAGAGATAACAGCATTAGAACTGGGGTTTTCTGAATTATTGTAGTTATCAACTAGCAAAAAGGAACAGGAGGGAAGTTATAGTTCTACTCATCATTTTGCCCATCTCTGGGAATTCTGGGAAATTCTGCCAGTTCTAATGCCCCCATCCACCTTACAATAGTAGTGGAAGGAGAGTCCATGAGTATAGTGTCTCAGGCTCAATGTAGCCCTGTCCTCTATTCATACACAGTGAACAAGGGGAAGATACAATATTAACTAATGTACAGTACCTTGTGTGGAGGCATCCTCATCTTCCGATTACTTAGCTCCATTCTTTGAATCATCAGACCCTTCTTCCAGCTGGTCTTTGGGCTGTAGGACACAATCATTTAAGTTCTTGGTGTGCAGGCTATTCTCACCTTCCTGGTTGATGTTGATAAACCAAAAAACTGACTTCATGTATACACCTAATCAGGTGGCATTCTAGTCCCATTGAAGTCAGTGGCAAAACTCCTACTGACTTCAGTGCGGCCAAAATTTTATGCAACGTTTTTAAGAAAGGGATGGGTGATGCTGCAGTATTCCAGATGAACATTTCTGTACTTTATTGTACCCAGAACATTAGTCCTTTCATCATAAGCATTTTCATCACTAGCCCCTTCAGCATTGGATGGCATTTTGCATGAAGGTCAGTTCATAAGCTTCTTCACCACTTGGGGCATGTCTAAACTACATCCCTCTTTCAAAAGAGGGATTTAAATTAGGCAGATCGAAAGTGCAAATGAAGCGGGGATTTAAATATCCCATGTTTCATTTGCATAATCGCATCACAGTGTCTTTTTTGAAAGAATGCGGTGACGCGCTGGCTATTTCCATCTGATCTAATTCCTTGGCTATGTCTAAACTACATCCCTCTTTCGAAAGAGGGATGTAGTTTAGACATAGCCAAGGAATTAGATCAGATGGAAATAGCCAGCCAACTCAAAATAGGATTTTTTTCTACCACCACCACCACCACCGTGAAGGAGACAATCCTCTCAAATGAAATATGGACATGTTAGACAGTATGCAGCAACATTGATGTACTGAGCATAAAGCTTTCATACAGTTTTGAAAACATCAGAGAAGATTATGCTATTCTTTGGAAAGCCATTGGAATGGCAGCCTAGTACCCTAATTTTTCAATACCCAATAATTCCGGGGTTCTTTGACTCTAGGAGAGGGGGTTATATAATTAAGGCTGGCTCTAGAGGACAGTTTGGTTATGTGAAAATCAAGTTGAATGCTGTGCTTTTCCTGGACTCTTGCTACAGAATAAACATTTGTGCTGAAATACAATTCTTGCAGCAGGATTCACCCTCTTCTGGTTGGGATATGTTTCTTAAATTCACATGCAACATACTGTCTTCTGTTAACCATATGCAGTTGTAGGTGAATTAGTCAAAATCTTTTACAGATTTTCCAGTGCAATCAATATCAATTATGCTTTTGAATATCAAACATCTGGGACACGGTAAAAAGATATAAATAGAAGTCAGAAATATAAAAACAGAATTGTTCAAGTTTGGCTGGGTGTCAAGTTGAACTGTATATTCTATTCTGTTTGTTCTATTATAGATGCAGAGCTAATTTATGTGGCTGAATGTTAAAAATAATTAAAAGCATGGGTTTCTTTTTTCAGTTGTGAAAAAAAAAGTTGAATATAATGTCTTCTGTTGTTTTAAAGAGAGAGAGAATACCAACACTAATCCTGAGAATAGTTCTTCAAGGACAATTTCACAGAGTAGTGATGACAGAGTATCTGGAGGAATCCTTGGAAGGACTAAAAAGGTAAACTCTGAGTTTTCAGTTCTGTTTAATTTAACTATTAATGAAATAATAACAATAGTGATGAGCAGTTAATGAAATTTTTGATCTTTGTCCCCACAAATGAGCCCATTATCATACCAGACTGAAACCCCTCAATCAGTTACTCTAAAAGAGTATCCATTATTGTGAATCATTTTTGGAATTTCAGAGGACCTGAGAGAATCTTACTCACATTCAAAAGTAACTTACTTGAATGAATGATTCCATTGACTCCAATATGCAGATAGAAAGGATAAGACATCATATGAAAGCATTATGAGTCACGATCCCATAATGTAAGCAAGGCAAGATGTTGAGAGAGAGGCAGAATATCCAAACTTGGACCACTCACAACATAAGCTAGTATTTAGAGTGCGTACGGCTATAAGGATCTGATCTTCTGTCATTCCAGAAATGATCCACAATAATGAATAACTTGTATGGGTCCATGCTCTGATAGTATTCTGGTTAGTATTAACTTTAATATGTAAACCACTGGAATTAAAAGTGGCTACTAATGCCTTGCAGCGGCACTCGCCTTCCTGCTGGCCGGGGAATGGCGCGGTTGTTTTCCTGATCTGGTGGGGGGCGGCTGCCCCGTTGTGTCCCTGCTGGGGCAGCCTCGCCCCACCTCCAGCTGCGATTGGGGCTTCTGTTTGTTTCTGTTCATACAGTTTGCTGCAGTTTTCCATCCCGGAGGACCTGCGTGAAGGTGGTCCGACCAGAGATACGGGGATCGATTTTTAAGAGTAAGAGGTTTTGTTTTTAAAGCAGGGGTGAGGAACCTAATACCCCAGCTCACGTGAGTGTGGCCCTCGAGACTCAAGGTTCCCACACTAACGCTCTAGCTCCCCTCCAGATTGGTGATAGAAATGTAGCCGTGTTAGCCTGGGGTAGTTGAAGCAAAATGCAGGACAATGTAGCACTTTAAAGACTAACAAGATGGTTTATTAGATGATGAGCTTTCGTGGGCCAGACCCACTTCCTCAGATCAAATAGTGGAAGAAAGTAGTCACAACCATATATACCAAAGGATACAATTTAAAAAAATGAACAAATATGAAAAGGACAAATCACATTGCAGAACAGAAGGGGGATGCGGGGGGGTGGGAAGGGGGAGGAAGGAAGGTAAGTGTCTGTGAATTGCTGATATTAAAGGTAGGGAGAGTGGGATGTTTGTGAGTTAATGGTATTACAGGTGATAATTGGGGAAACTGTCTTGGTAATGGGTGAGAAAGTTCAAAGACTTGTTAAGTCCTTGTTGGTAAGTGTCGAATTTTAACATGAATGACAGTTCAGAGGATTCCCTTTCAAGTGCAGATGTAAAAGGTCTTTGTAGCAGAATGCAGGTGGCTAAGTCATTTAGAGAGTGTCCTTTCTGGTTAAAGTGGCAAGAAACTGTTTTCTCTTTGTGATCTTGTCTGATATCTGTTTTGTGGGCATTAATCCTTTGGCGAAGTGTCTGAGATGTTTGTCCAATGTACATAGCAGACGGACACTTTCGGCACATGATAGCATAGATTATATTTCTGGATGCGCAGGAATATGTGTTCTTGATCTTATAACTTACTTGGTTAGGTCCAATAATGGTATCAGCAGAATGAATATGTGGACAAAGCTGGCAACGGGGTTTGTTGCAAGGGAAGGTACCAGGGTTGGTATTAGTGTGGTATGTCCTGTGGTGGTTGGTAAGAATGATCTTGAGGTTAGGTGGTTGTCTGTAGGAGACTATGGGTCTGTCTCCCAGAGGCTCTTTGAGTATGGTATCCTGTTCCAATATAGGCTGTAGTTTATTGATAATGTGTTGGACAGGTTTAAGTTGGGGGTTGTAGGTGATGACAAGTGGTGTTCTATTGTTGGTTTTCTTGGGTCTGTCTTGAAGTAGATGGTTTCTAGGTATTCGTCTGGCTCTTTCAATTTGCTTTTTTATTTCTCCGGGTGGGTAGTTGAGATTTATAAATGCTTGGTGGAGATCCTAATATGGAGATCCTAATATGGAGGGAGACCAGGGTTATCTCTTAAGTATCCTGTATTTGCTGTATAGATCATTTGTTTGGATATTTCCCTTTTTGTGTCGTACCATCTTCGTATGTTTTTTATGTCCCACAGTTTTACAGCAGATTACTCCTCTTCCTCTGGTTATTCCCTCCTGTGCTCATAGTTTTTGGTAGAGCAAGGAGTGAAGCAGAGGCTAATCAGAGGAAGAGTGGATCTGACAGAATATGAACAGTTTTAGGAATACTCAGGATGGAGATGCGGGGACAGCACAATTTGACTGGTAAAGATTAGGGTTGTTAAATATTGGTTAATTGAATAGTCAGTTAACCTCATGAATTCTTATAGGTTAGTCGACTATTCTATAGTCCCTGGGCAGCCTTTGTTCGGGGAGGAGGGCATGAGCCGGAACTGAGCTGGGCTGCTGGCCAGCCTGCTAAAAAATTTACTGGCAAGGGTTGGGGGAGAGGGAGAGGGGAATGTGTGTAGTCTATAGTATTAACCTATAAGCTTTTGTTTGTCGATTAATCAGTTAATCGACTATACTATTACATCCCTAGTGAAGAGCCTCTGGGTATGTCTACACAGCCTGCAGCAGTGAGTCTCCCAACCCAGGTTTTATAGATATGGACTTGTGCTACTGAGTTAAAAACAGCAGTGTAAATTGTGCCTGAAGTTTGTGATTTAAACTGGATTTTGAGCTCTGAAGTCTGAGGGGTGCAGGTGACTTTAGAGTTGATGTTCCGGCCCAAACCACAACTTCAGAGGACTGTCTGCCCAATTGTTCTTAGCACAGTAGCATGAGCTGGAGTGCATGGGCCCCCAGGTTGGGACTCTGACTGCTATGGGCTACATAGACATATTTTGTGGGGGAAAGGGACAAGCAAAGGGAAAAGCGATGAGAGACCAAAAAGACAGAGATGGTTTAGAGGGCACAGAGAGAACATTATCCCCCATTTCAAGGACCTGGGTCCTACTTGAAGTGTTGAAAATGTAAAGAGGTCTGAGAAGATGTAGCCAACATAGTTGACAGACAGTACCTATTGCTATGGAAACACCAAGATGAAATCCTAACCCTACTGAACTCAAATGATGACAGAATTCCCATTGACTTAAATGGAGCCAAAATTTTACCCCTCTCATTCAGAGGTTCTGATGCTTCAAAACCTCCCTCCAAAGCAGAAAAGACTGTAGAAATATAAGAGAATATTATAACCATTAGTCACACCATAAAAACAGGTACAAGGAAGTATTTAGTTAACAATTTATTTGAATAAATATTACTTTGCTTCTAGCAAGGGAATATGTCTCACCTGCCTCTCCCACTGCCATTCCCAGAGGTTTTACTTTTTGGATCTACTTCAGATATTGTGGGGAAGAAGTATTGTGAAGCTGAAAACATTTATGTGCAGAAAAAGAAGCTGGATGTTTTAAAAGAAGTCTCCTGTAGCTATGTTGCTTTCTTTTTGAAGCTTTAAGTAGGCTTTCTCTAAATTAATAGAAACGCAAATAGTCATACAAAATTTGTAATAACAGAAATAATAACAGCAGAATAAAATACTGTCAAAAGATAAATATCACCTGCTTTAAAAGTAAACATCTTTATTCCATCCCCAGATTTTTAAATTATTTTCTGTCTTTTCCAATATATTTTATACAGTTTCCAAAGAACGTGCATATGAACTCTGAACCCTTTGACACACACAATCTTCCCTATACTGGCAAAACAAAAATGAAGTAATATTGGTTAATCAATTTCAAAAGCTATTTTAAATAGGAATGTGAATGGTTTACCGGGAAGTATCACCCTTACCGGGTGATGCTTAGTGATTACGGTTAACTAGCAGCCCAGCAGGGCTGGAGTAGCCCCCCCCCCCCACCCACAGTGCAGTGCAGTGGGCCTTGTTCGGTTACATCAGCCCCTGGCCATGACAGGTGTCACTCTAGTCTGGCTGGGCCTGCCATGCCATGGGTGAGGACACTCCAACCCATCCAGGCTGGAGCAGCTCCCTACCCACCAGCAGTGTAGAGCAATGGACTTGGTCCAGCCAGAGCAGCCCCCTGGCCCTGGCAGGAGGCCACTCCAGCCTGGCTGGTCTGCCGTGCCACGCTGAGGGTAGGTGGTGCTCCAGAGGGCCCCATGCCCACCGCTGTTTAAGTGGTTAACAGGTTAAGCATGTTTAAGCAATTAACTGATTAAACAGGAATTTACATCCCTAATTTTAAAACAGATACCGGATTGTTTTGTTGTATAAGTAACAATGAATAAATTAGAGAACTGCTAAGGATTTTAGATTAAACAATTTTTTTAAAAGTGCTGAGCTTGATGAAACTCTTACTTACATGATTACTCGTATTGACTTGAATTAGATTTGCCTAAATAAGAGCCAATATTTTTCAGGGTTTGTGGGATTTAGCACATATTTAGGATCTGATTCAGCTCCTATCAAAATCATTGGAAGTCTTTCTGATTACTTCAGTGGAAGCTGGATCAAGACCATAATTCTTATTTGACTTTATACAAGGTACCTCAAAGAAAGAAATAATTCAGCACTTTGAATTTTACTCAGATGAAAACTTAGAGTGGTTATCCATGGAGTTCTTTATAGGAGTGCAGGTAACACCTTGGATGGAGCCCTTTGTAGGGTTAGAACTCAAAAGGAATGAGAACTTTGTCCCCAATCCAGCAAAGCATTTAAGCACACACTTAGTTTTAAGGAAATTAGTAGTCCCATTAACTTCGTAGTCTGTTTTCATTGATTTCATCAGGACTGCCCACATACTTAAAATTAAGTGTGAAACTAAATGGTTTGCCTGTGTTCATGAAATATCTTTGTAGGATCTGGATTTAAATTATTAATAGGGCTGACAAGCAATTTAAAAAAATAATCATGATAAAAATACATCAATTAATCGTGTGATTAATTGTGTTGTAAACAATAATAGAAAATCATTTATTTAAATTTTTTGTTTCCTTTATTTTCAAAAATATTTATTTCTATTACAGAATACAAAGTGTACACTGCTCACGTTATATTTATTTTTATTACACATATTTGCACTATAAAAACCAAAGAAATAGTATTTTATGTACTAATTCAAATACTTCTCTTTATCATTAAAGTTGAACTTACAAATGTAGGATTATGTACAAAAATATTATTCCACTAAAAAATAAAACAATGTAAAACTTTAGAGTCTACAAGTCCAGTGAGTCCTATTTATCATTCAGCCAATCACTCAGACAAACAAGTTTGTTTTTCATTTGCAGGAGATAATACTGCTTGCTTTTTTTTATAGTGTCATCTGAAAGTGAGAATAGGCATTCACATAGCACTATCATAGCAAGCATTGCAAGATATTTATGTACCAGATGTGCCAAAGATTCATATGTTTCTCGTGCTTCAACCACCATTCCACAGGGCTTGCATCATGCTGATGATGGGTTCTGCTTGATAATGACGCAAAGCAGTGCAGACCAATATACGTTCATTTTCATCATCTGAGTTAGATAGCACCACCCAAAGGATAATTTTTTTTTTGGTGATTTGAGTAATGTAGTTTCCACATCAGAGTGTTGCTTTTTTAAGACTTCTGAAAGCATGCTCCATACCTCTTTCATCTCAGCTTTTGGAAAGAACTTCAGATTCTTAAATCTTGGGTCAAATATTATAGCTATCTTTAGAAATTTCACATTTGTATCCTCTTTGTGTTTTGCTATAACATGAAATATATGGCAGAATGTGGGTAAAAGAGAGCAGGAGACATACAGCTCTTCTCCAAGGGGCAATATGCATCATCTGCAGAGAAACATATCCTCTGGTATGGTGGCCAGAGCATGAAGGGACATATGAATGTCTAAAAGCTGAGTTCGAGCCATGGACCATCTGTAAGGCAGATATATATATTAGAGTGCATCCATCTTTCTGCGCATCTGTTTGTCCATTTGTTCAAGAACTCCTCCTAAACTGTAAGAGCTAGGACCACCAAATTTAGTATGCAGCTTCCTCTTACCCTAACTTAAACCAAGGTCAAGGTTTGGTTGTGCCTGGAAAACGGGAAGTGCCAGGAATAGGACTGTTTTCCATTACATGGAAAGGGAACGGACAGAGTATGGACTAATGTGAAAGGGAAGGGCACAAAGAAGAGAGACTACTCAGTGTAGTCACTGGGGGCAGCTGTAGCATAAAGAGAGGAGGGCTGGATCTCTGCCATCTTGCCTGCCTTCAGACTGGATAAGGAGCCACCCTTCCCCAAACATGGGGCCTACCCTCCCTCCCCTGAGGAGAGCCAACAGGTTGGGGGGAGGGACCCACTGGAGGAGGGGGAAGCCCCCAGAGCCTAGCCCCTGCCCAGACAGCCTGCAGGACACGGGGGGTGAGGGCTGCTGGAGGCCAGAGGCAGCTCCTGCATGCAAGCCACAGAGGGCTTCTGGAGGGAGGCAGCTGGAAGGGGGAACCTGCCCCCCAGACAAATCTGCAGGCTGCAGCAAGGGCCTAAAGGAGGAAGCAGCCCACAAAGTCTTGTCCCTCCCAAACAGCATGCAAGCTGTGGAGGGGCTATTGGAGGGCGGGGTCAGCCTGCAGAGCGCTCCCTCCCTCCGAACCAGGCTTCAGGACAGTGTGGACACTGCCTCAAGTAAGACTCCCTGCCCGGGGGGGGGGGAGGGACAGCTGCAGGCCTGGGGCTGCCCGCTCAAACAGGCTGCAGGCCGGGACTAGAGTTGGTGCCAGGCTGAAGGTATGCAGGATAAAGCAGCTGCTGAAGGTAAGGTGCTGGGGCGGGTCTTCCAGTGGCCTAATAGATAAGGCCTCGACTTCTGGAGCTCCCCAAACAGGCTGGGGGTGGGGGGCAGCTCTGCCCTAAGCCTCTCCTTATACCTGAACCCTCACTTCAGCCTTCATTTTCCTTCATTTAAAAAAAAATAGAATCATTGAAATAAAGCATGTACATTTTGCATTTATTCCCCCCCCCCTTCCCCCCAAAAAAACAAATAAACACACAAACTTTAGTTAAAGACCTGAACAATTCTGGATACATCTGCTAGAAGTAATATAAAGTGAGCAGTGTACACTAACATAGAAAAAACATCCAAAAATTGAATACATTTCAGTTGATATTCTATTTTTTAACAGTGTGATTAAAACTGTGATTAATAAATAATTTGTATCACAATTAATTGTTTTTGTTAATTGCAATTAATTAACAGCCATAATTCTTAAAACTGAAAAATTATTGCAAATTTAATATATATTTCATTTATTATGTTTGCTTCTTGCTATTTTCTGAGTTTGGTATTTATAAACTGAGTTGTGTTATTTATCAGTGTATGCTCATTTTAACTTTCTAGTTTTTATACACTTTTGCAATACAGCAACATTTGGGTTACAAATACTTCAAAGGAATGTTATCCATTTAACATTTTTAAAAGATCGTGGTAACATTTGTGTTTACATTATGTTTTGGAAAGGTGAATTTGTTATTGTTTATTTTATCAAACATAACTGTGTAGCCTAAGTTCATTTTAGACTGTGTGTGCAGTCTAAACTTGTATGCAGGCTTTTTTGTACATCTTTGAAAATGACTTAATTGATTAGGGTGGTAATTTGTTACCTTTTATTTTAGTTTTCTCTGTTTAAGCAAAAGTCGTTGACAAGTCAGAAAAATGTACATAACAGCAATGAAGGGAAATCTGAAAAGCCACTCCACGGTGAAAAGGAAAAAGGAAAGGAAGCAGATTTACCTGCTGACAACAGGAAAGATGAAAACCAGAATCACACTACAGAGAATCCTAAGGAAACTCCAGCAACCCAGGGCAGAAAGCCCTCTACTTGTATAATACTGTGATGCTGTCAGAATATATATTTGACAGACTGCAAGCACGTTGCAATTTTTACTTGAAAACAATTATGACTTCTTATTGTTACAGATGACAGATTTTTTTAAAAAATGATTATGTTGTTTGCCTTGGTTTTGGTATTTATTTCTATTGATAATTTTAGTAATTGAAACTGATAAGCTTATCAGAATTTTACTGAAGTGTGTTGTGGCCTTAATGTTGAAATAAAAATATATTTTTGTATGTGAAAAGTTGGATTCAGGAATTTTAATGATGTTTGCTAAATAATTTTATCCTATTCTTGAATTTACATGGTACCTCTCTGATATGATGCAGAGCTGTAAATAGGTACTGTAATGCATTATTTTGTTTGGAAAAATAGCTAAGAACATTATTTAGAAATTAAGACGTTTATTGAGCCATTTAGAAATCCTCTGTCTTGCTCAATTTTGAAATAGAAAGATAGCAATAAAGTATTTAAAAATATGGGCCCTGATTCAGTAAGGTACTTTCAGCATGTGCCTAGCTTTATGCCTATGTATAGTTCCAATGAAGTCAATGAGGTGCCTAACTGAAAGTAATGTGTATGTGCTTTATGTATCTGGTCAAATCAGGGCTTCACAGAAAAACTACTCATTTTTTAGATATACTGAGTGCCTTCAGCTCTTGTTAACTCTCACTGACATAACTCTCACTGATTTTATGTTAGAGAAGAAACAGGTGACCCAGGAGCAGATGGGGTAAACAGAACTGCTTTACTGTCCACGCATGTTTATCTTGGACATTCAACACAACGTCCGAATGGCAACAAACTGGCATCAGTCATACTCTTTTATCTATTTTAGTATGTTAATTCACATGTCTATCACTGCTTTTCCTAAAATCTTATTTAGTAATGTTAACTCCCATAAAATGAATATTCATAAGCAAATAATGAATACAATTATACCCACCCCTAATTACTATTTATATAATTTCTAATTAAATCAACACCTGCTTCTGTACTACAAACTTTCTAAATCAACAGGTTACAGAGATTACAAGGAATTTGACCCTGAAGATGTGTTATACAGAGCCAATGAGGACAAGCAAAAACAACAAAATAAAGCAATTCTATACTTATCTGGTTTCTTAGGCTACAACAACAAAGAGAAAGAACATGTTTATACATCAGAAAGGAAAATACTGGTTTTGACAGGACTCTTCCCAAACTACAAAAAAATAAAAGGAAAAAGCATGTTTAAAAGGTAATGCTGTGGCTGACCCCTGAATTACTAATGTAGAGCAATTTCAGACCTCTATTAATTTTTTACATATCCCAACAAGTTGTTGAGGGGATTTGCATCCATGTAGAATCAAGGCCACGGCAGATAAAAATAAAATCAATTGCCAATATTACCATTTTACCATTTCATTGGGGGCCTAATCCTGCATTCCTTAAGCACCCAAATCTTTATTCTACTGTAGTAGAGGTGGAGTTTTTTTGTATGTTTTTTAGCAAGACAGACTACAGCATCAGAGACCCTTAATTATGTTTACATATGGTGGACATCTTGAAGTAAGCAAAACTTTTCTAAATATAAAGTAAACACATTGATCATACAAGACAAAGCTATTAAGATATTAATGCTTATACAGCAGCTGATTTCTTGTGGGAAAATTTTGGAAGGCATTCAGTAGTATTAAATCACAATTTTCTGCATTTTTTCTTTTAATTTTATGTAGGACATTTGCAGAAAAACATTTTTATAATTAACTATTCATGTGTTGCTGTTGCCTGCTTAACACTTGCAGTTATGATCCTCTGTATGGGACATCTGAATTATTTGGAAAATACTGATGTTGCAAACAGATCACTATGAGCTAACTCCCTCTTGTTTTTCTCAGGCAAGTACTTTCATTGGCTTCAGTAGCTTTGTTCTATGGGAGGAGAAGGGATTTGGCCCTCCCTTAGGTAGAGATTATGCAGAAGGAGGAAGTGAATGCTTCATCCAATTTCCAGATAGATCAGTGGGATGCAAATTTTTTTTTGTCTTTCAGAATTCGTCATTTCTCTTTGTTGTTCACATTTCTTGCATTTAACACACAGGTCTAATTACCAGATTCATAAAAAGACTTAAAGTCCTTAAAATTTAGTTGCAAATAAATAAGAAAATAAGACTGTAATTATTAATAAATGTAAAAAACACATCCCGTGCTGTGATTTATCTGTTCCAGAATTGTGTTTTTTGTATTTGGAAGTCCCTAGCTATCAAAAGATAAACATGTGAAGTACAACATATAATGTAAAACAAGAATTGTAGCCAAATTGAATCCTTTTCAAAATATTTCATAAGATGTGCTGATCTTTAAAAAACAAACCAGGAAAAAATTATTTATTTTTTCTGACATCTGCACACTTCTGAATTTGCCTTTCGCCCAGCTTCACCTCTGATTTAGTTTTTTTACCTAATTTCAGGGCTGCATAGGCTTTATATAGCCCTGTTGCATGTGACTAGGGTTCTTCTTGCCCCAGAATTTGGTCCAACTGAATGCTTCATCCCTATAAGTATGACAAATACCATGATACTTTAAAGGCACCTCCTCTGGACTGCATCATATTTAAAGCCTACATTCTGTGACATCCTTTTCCAGAGTTAATTAAAATCCTGTAATTTTGTTATGCTATTTTTCCATGTGGCAGCTTTGAGTTGTACAGATGAACATTAAATAAGTTATTTTCTTTGTAGAAATCTACATGGTTTTCCTCATTTCCTCAGTGCACATTTGACTTCTGTTCTGTTTGGATCCTGCTCTGACATGGAAAAAATCTTGGAAGTGGAATGATTTAAAATAAAATGGTTTCCTTCTGCGAGTTGAAATTAGTTTTACATGTTTAAAGGAGGCTGGAATTAATCTCAAAGGAAGGTACCCTAAAGACTATTCATTTATTTAAATGTGAGTTCAGTTAGTGAACAGTAATTCTCTTAGGCTACATCTACACAGCGGAGCTATTTTGGGATACCTCTGGTATCCCTAAATAGCTATTCTGCATCTTTAAATTAACCCATTATTTCAAAATATATTTCTAAATAACGTGCATTTTTCCAGCATCTCTGTAACCCTTGTTTCATGAGGGTTAAGGATTTGTCGAAATAGTGCTTTATTTTGAAATTTGGCACTGTGCAGACCACACACAATTTCAAAATAACCTTGAAATAAGCTATGCAATTTGCGTAGTGCAAATAGCATAGCTTATTTAGAGGTAAGGGTGCTGTGTAGATGCACCCTTAAATATTATACTACTTTAGGAGGGAAGAGTTTGTTAAAGTTATTGACGCAACAAAACACACTGAGAAAAATGTTCTATAGTGATCCAATTTATACAGCATATTTATCTATTCCCTTTTGTCCTTCCAAGTTGAGCTACGTGAAAAGGGGATGCTTGATAACATGAAAGAAAAGTCTCTAAAAGGTAGTGCGCATTGACTAAAAATAAATGATTTTTTCAGCTTTTATAATACAGTACCACATATGTATAGTTTCCTGCATGTTTAAAAGATACTTTTCACTGAAAGGTATTTTGTCAGCTAAATGATAGCTGAAGGTTCCATCATAGAAATGGGTCGGAGCATTGCTTTAAAAAAAAAAAAAAAAAAAAAAAAAAAACCCTTATTTTCAAAGCTAAGTATTTCAGCATAAATCACTCTTCTTGGATTACATAGTCCTGGCTCATACCAATGGGATGACTCTTTAAACTTCATGTAAAAAAGAAATCTCACCATCAAAATTACCATGAAGTAGACTTTTGAGTGCTCCGCAAAGAAGCTATGGTTCCTCTGTGTTTAAAGTCGACTCTTTTCCTCTCTCTGGCCCCTGACCAGCAGTTGAAGTTGCTCAATAGTCCTGCAGCTTTAAATATATCTTTTACAGCTTTCTATCTTTTTGAGAAAATGCATGAGTGTTACTATCCATAGTTCTTTGCTTTAAGATGGCATAGCTAAGGCTTTTTATAATGCCTTTTTAAAAGATTGAGCTTATAGAGAGATAAAAAGAGTACGTCTATAGTGTAACACTTTCAAAGTAACTAACTCTATTACAAAATAACTCAGTCCGCATCTACACTGCAGGCAGTTATTTCGAAATAGTGTCAAAATACTGTCAAGCTGGGGGACTTCTTACTCCGACTCCTGTAACTCTCATTGTATGAGGAGTAAGGGAAGTCAGAGGAAGAGTGCTCTATTTTGCAATAAGTGCTGTGTAGACGCTCCCTATTTCTAAATAAGCTATTTCGAAATAAGATATGCAATTGATGTAGCTCAATTTACGTAATTTATTTTAAATTAAGCCCTGCAGTGTAGATACACCCTAAATTAGCACTGATGTCCAAAGGCACAGGATCTGGCCCTTTAGCTACCATCACTTTGCAGGTGTTCAAAAACCCTTTCGAGGCTCAGGAGACAATACAGCCCACAAAATAATGTTGGTGATATAATAGCAAAACTCCCATTGACTTTGTTGGTGCTGAGTCGCACACTTCTGATATTTTTCATATGTTCAAAGGGCATAGTGCTATGCTCACTGCGTGGTAGGTAGTTTTATTACTTTCCCCCCTGGATGGTTTATTTTGTGTCCATTCCTTATTTGTAGCTACCCAGGAGAAGTCAATGGAGTTGAGATAAATCAGATCACATTTTGGCATGTTTACCATGTGTAAATGAGTCTATCTGCTCCTAAGGCTGTGGGCAACATAAATGTGAGTTCAGGTGGAATTTAAGCATGAGTATGACTTTGAAATGGTTTAGCTAGTCACAATTTGATTTTAACAAATGATGTCCAAAGGAACTTTAGGCTGCCTGTTTAGTGTAGTTATTAGAAACACACTTACAAAAAAGGCATGGAATTTGACATGTTCTATTTCTTTTAAAAACACCTCTGTGTTACTTCAGTTGTCCCAAATTGAACAAATATTACCAGACTTTCTTTCTCAAGATATTTGTTGTTATTGCCAATAGCATATCCAATTGAATCATTTTGTTTTATAATAGAGAAAGAAACTTCTATTTCAGTTTCTAATGCTTATGAAAAGGAGATTTAATAGCCCTAGAAAAAAGCCATTGTGTTGCTAATATGCTTCTTCCTCAAGTGACTGAGTAATTGCAGTTTAATATTGACTTATAACACCCTTACTTTTCTAGCTGTGGAATCTCATGAACACAACCTTGCTATAAGTATCAAGTTAGCAAGTTAGCAAATATCTTTAAACTAATGACAGATTTTAAGGTTACATTTTAATAGACAATATATTTCCAATCAGTTTGCAGATATTAGCTTATCCATTTCTTCCAAAGTAATTGTTTTGGAAAGTTTTATCATAAATGTATTGAACGCAAAGGCTTATAATCTTTTAAATCCCTATAATATATACTTACAGTTAGACCTTTCATAGATATAACCAATGAAATTCATTTATGGAGGGATGCATCTCTCGCTCTCTCCCTCATTTTAAATGATGGACTAGCTTCCCATTAAGCCTCATTTTTTCAATCCCACAAAGCAAATTATTCTTCCTAAAATTTTACATGCTACATCCAAGGATATTTTCCTGTGAAATGTAAAAGCTGTCATTTGGCAGCTCTTCTATGAGCCCCTTTCAACACTCTTAATGTGACAATGTTTTTCAGATTAATCACCATGCTGCAAACTTTCAGTATAAAATGGCAGTGGTACTAAAATTTAAAACCATCCTGTGATACAAAGTACAAGAATAATACTCTCACACTTGGAAGCAATAGCTTGTTCCTTCACCTTTTTAGCAGAAGAAGGTATAAATATTTGATGACCTACTGTGTCAGTCGCATATGTCCCATTTTAAGAAAAATTGTTAGGATCTCTCCTAAGGTGGTTTTTGCAAATGGAGAAACGACACTCTTAAGTGGCACTAGCAACTTGCAGTCTAAAGAAGAATTATTAAATGTCTTTAGTTCCATATTATTCTGACAGTTTTATCCAGTGATTGAGATAAAAACCTGGTGATGGGCTGGCCTCTTGTGGTTTCTGTCTGGTTGTAGCTTAGGAAGGACAGCTGACTGCTGCTTCCCTTGCTGCTGAACTTTAAAACTAGAATGGCACTGACAGAAAAATACAAAATGAGTAAGTTCTGTTCTGCAGATACAGTATAGAGAATTGTTCCAAGGCATTTACTGAAGAAGCTGGAGGCCAATGGAAAAATACTGCATAATCATGTAATTAAGGACTGTATCATAATGCAGGAACACAAGGGGAACGAATTAAGGTTGAAACTGAAAAAACACATTCTGTTGTATGGTATCGTATTGAGACCTGCATGGTTCATCATCTACTGAATAGCCCTATGCCACTTGATCTAATGGAATAATTGATAGTAGTACAGGGTAGTAATTTAGGTTGTCATCCTTTGTGTGAACCAGCTTTAGAGGAGGATGTGCACATACTTTGCCATAGGGGTTCACCGATATTTGCAGACAACAAAGGAATCCTGGGGTCCATTCCAGGCTCTGGAGGGGAGTGTTTTTGAAAGGGTATAGAGTCTTCTGTCCCTGTCCCCTCTTCCCCGCGCCCTGAAATCTGAATACTTCTACCTGTATGTCCTCCAACCAGTCCAATGTCTCTCCACTCAGCTTCTCATCCCAGATATCCCTCAGTCTCTCATCCCAGTTCCAGTCTTTCCTTCTGATATCCTTGTACAAGTCTCAGAAACTTTTATCTAAGAAAAATCAGCTTGAGGCAGACATCTTCAGGGAAAACATCAGCTCAGATGCTTTACATTTGACAGAGCCATAAGCAACTGAAAGCAGCATCTTATAATGGAAAGTGTTGGACAATCTGAACTGTTGGTCTCTCTAGCTATGCTTCCTGTAACAAATTGTTAATTAAAAGTTAAAAAAAAAAAAGGCAGCTCCTAAGTGTTTTATCTAAGAATGTTAGCTGTTTTATATTTTTTAACAAATATTTCCTGAATAGTCCTGCTGCAATCTATGTCCTGACCCCATAAACACTTGCACCAGTGAGTAATTTTAAACATCTGAGCACCTTCTTTGAAAATTTACTCATGTGAATAGGCTTATTAAAACAGAAGTGTTTGCAAGGGTAGACACCAAATTTATCACTCTCCCACCATGACTACCATCAGCATCATAGCCTAGGCTTCCAAAAGCCAATTACATACATATGTATTAAAAACAACAAATAGGCCTGTGGCACTGTAGCCCTCGTCTACACTAGAGCGTTATTTCAAAACACCTGCCCTTATTTCAAAATAAGGAGTGGAGTGTCCACACTGCGAAGACCATTATTTTGAAATAAGGAGCTGGTTATTTTGAAATAATTCCTGCTTTCCACTAGGAATTCAGATGCTCCACTGCTGCTATTTTGAAATAACTACTCCCCAGAGTCATTCACAGTAATTATTCCCCAGTGCTTCCTAGGGCTCTAAGTCGAGTTAGCACGCTCACATTAAGGACATGTCTACACTAGGAAATTATTTCAAAATAACTACATTTGAAATAACTCCTTAATTAACTATTTTGAAATAAGCTTCCCCCCGCCCCCCGGAAAGCAGGGAGTACAGATTTAGAAATAACCAGCTAGTGTGGGCAAGCTATTTCAAAATAGTTATTTCAGGAGTTATTTAAAAATAAATTATTTCAAAATAATTTCCTAGTATAGACATGCCCTTAGAGACTAACCAAAATGTATAGAATCATGAGCTTTCATGAGTAAAGCTCATGATTCTGTTTATTTCGGATAGTCTCTAAGGGCATATCCACACTAGGAAACTATTTTGAAAGAGTAACTCCCAAAATAATGATTTTGAAATAGCATGTCCACACTATA